GCAACGGGAGAGGCCACAGCAGTGAGAGACCCGCATACCGCAAAAAAAAAAAAAAAAATTCACTGACGATATTGGGATGGCAAATAAACACATGAGAAGATATTCAACATCATCTGGTATTAGGGAAATGCAAATTAAGACTCAATAAGATATCACTGCACTGCACACTTATTAAAACAGCTAAAATAAAGTAATGAAACTACCAAGTGCTGCAAGGATGTGGAGAAACTGAATCTCTAATGTATTGCTGATGGCAACGTAAAATGGAACAACCACTCTGAAGAGTAGTTTGGCAATTTCTTAAAAACCTAAACATACAGACCATAGACTCAACAACCAAACTTCTTGGCATTTCCCAAAGAAATGAAAACATGTCCACACAAAAATCTGTACCTGGTTCTTCATAGCAGCTTTATTTGTAATAGCCCCAAACTGGAAACCACCAAAACATCTTACTACGGGTGACTGGTTAAACTGTGATATACCCTCAGCAATAAAAAGGAACTACGGATGTACCTAACAACTTGGATGAATCTGCAGAGCATGATGCTGAGTAGAAAAAGAATCAGTATCGAATGTAAATTGATACAGCCACTATGGAGAGAAGTACAGAGGTTCCTTAAAAAGCTAAAAGTAGAACTACCATATGACCCAGCAATCCCACTACTGGGCATATACCCTGAGAAAACCGTAATTCAAGAAGAGTCGTGTACCACAATGTTCATTGCAGCTCTATTTACAATAGCCCGGAGATGGAAGCAACCTAAGTGTCCATCATCAGATGAATGGATAAAGAAGATGTGGCACATATATACAATGGATATTACTCAGCCATAAAAAGAAAAGAAACTGAGTTATTTGTAGTGAGGTGGATGGACCTAGAGTCTGTCATACAGAGTGAAGTAAGTCAGAAAGAGAAAGACAAACACGGTATGCTAACACATATATATAGAATCTAAAAAAAAAAAAAAAGTTCTAATGAACCTAGGGGCAGGACAGGAATAAAGACGGAGACATAGAGAATGGATTTGAGGACACGGGGAGGGGGAAGGGTAAGCTGGGATGAAGTGAGAGAGTAGCATGGACATACATACACTACCTTATGTAAAACAGACAGCTAGTGGGAAGCAGCAGCATAGCACAGGGAGATCAGCCCAGTGCTGCTTTGTGACCACCTAGAGGGGTGGGATAGGGAGGGTGGGAGGGAGAGGCAAGAGGGAGGGGATATGGGGATATATGTATACGTATAGCTGATTCACTTTGTTATACAGCAGAAACTAACACAACATTGTAAAGCAAGTATACTCCAATAAAGATGTTTTAAAAAAAGGTTATATACTGTAAGATTCTGTTTATACAACCTCTCAAAATATAGAGATGGAAAATAGATGAGTTATCAGCAGGGGTTGGAGGTGGGAGGACAGGCTGGGTGTGACAGTAAAGGGGTAGCTGCACTGAGGCCTTTGTGGTGATAGAAGAGTTTCTATCTTGATTTTGGTGGTGGTTACAGGAATCTACATTTGGTATAAAATGACACAGACCTACACACAGACATATTACACACATAGCAAATTCCTGGTTTTGTATCGTACCATAGTTAAATAATATGTAATCAACTGGAGAAACCAGACGAAGGGTGCACTGGACCTCTCTGTACTATCTGTGTAATTTCCTAGGCGCTGTAATTAATTTTTAATACAGAAAAATAATTAAAAATAAATCTTCTTTTGCCTTGGCTAGCTGTGGCCCACATTATTTCTTAAGAGGAGAAACCGTGAGACTGTGGAAAACCCCAATACTCAATTTTATACATAAGCGTGATCTGAGGCACGAGAAAGGGGCTCGGTGGCAGAAACTGGGGAGCCCGGGAGGAGTTTCCCTTGCGCAGAGGGTTCGGAGGCGGGGTCCCCGCTGCTGAAGCCGGCAGTGAGGGGCGCGCAGCCGAGCTCCAGACCCACCCTCCGCCGCCCCCGGAGCCGGTGCGGTGTCTTCACCGCGTGGCCAGAGGCTGGGGAGTGAGAAGCACGGGCACTGTCGCTCCGGCATTCCGGACGGCCACAGCGCCGGGCCTCAGAGAGGAGCAGAAGACTTTGAACTACGAACATTTTTGGTCAACGGGATCGTCTCCCTCGCTCTGGCTTCTCGCCTGTTGATTGTGAGTTAAAACCCTGCACTGCTTTCCTTCTCCAGAACCTCCCGAGGTGCTGGCGGGAGCCCTCTCGTGCGCCCGAGTCCAGAGCGGAGGCTGTCCCGGCCTGCAGGGGAGGGAGGCGGCCTCCGCGCAGGTCCCCCGGTAGCCCGCGCCCCGCCGCGCGGGAGTCCGAGCCCCGGGAGGTGGATGGCACGCGGGGCGCGCGCAGCATGCAGTCGCTCAACATCACCCCAGAGCAGTTCTCCCGGCTGCTGCGGGACCACAACACGACACGGGCGCAGTTCATCGCGCTGTACGGGCTGCGGCCGCTGGTCTACACCCCGCAGCTGCCTGGGCGCGCCAAGCTGGCTTGAGTGCTCACCGGCGTGCTCATCTTCGTCCTAGCGCTCTTTGGCAACGCGCTGGTGGTCTACGTGGTGACCCTCAGCGAGGCCATGCGCACCGTCACCAACATCTTCACCTGCTCCTTGGCGCTCAGCGACCTGCCCATCGCCTTCTTCTGTATCCCGGTCACTATGCTCGAGAACATCTTCAACAACTGGCTGGGGGGTGAGTCCGCGCGCTTTCCTTCTCCCCTAATCCCCAGCCTTCCAGGGGACCCCCTCCACAACACACACTCTACTCTTCTGACTTTCTTCCATTTTTCTCTTTACCAAATGAATCCAGTACCCTTTCTTAGAACTTCCTCGCCTGCCCTCACTTGGAGATAAGTTTTTGCTCCTTTTGATTCCGTTCCAGCATTTTTCTCCGTGTCGCTTAGAGACACAAGTTAGGGAAATGCTTAGGAGAGTCTCACCGCAGTGGGGTGGGAAGTGGCACCAGTTAGTTCAGCTCCCTTTTCCACAATTACCAAGACTTTTTCCTATTTTTAAAATAAAAGTAAGATAAAATAATTCAAATAATAAAAACCCCAACATCCCCTCATTCCTCTAACCTCCAGCCTCACTCCCCAGTTGCCCGTGGGGCTTCCAGACAGGTATTTGTACTGCAAGTATATATATGGACTTAACACTTTAAAACAAATATAATGCATTTGCAGAAAAAAAAAATCTAGTCCTTCTTTTTAAAAAATACATGAACAGAGTCACACTTGGAGAAGGAACACAGAAAATATATGTCCTCTTGACTGATAAAGAAAGAGAGATTAATTTCTCTTCCTTAGAATGGGAGCAGAAATGGCAGAGAACCATTTGGAGTCTTTGTTGGGAGCAGTGTGTGGGAAAAAATAAGACACTGCACTTCTCTAAATGATGCAGTCTTTCCAAAGAGACATGACTAGAGAGCGTGTTTTGTAACCCATAAATAGTAGTGGGTTGTATTCTCACCAGTGCTTATGGAGTGCCTTGGGGATGAGGAAACATTGATTGTACCTGTGTTTTCATGGGTGGATGTACTCTTGTGACCATCTCAAAATTCATAGAAAGTGATTGGAAATATAGGGAGAATGTGAGAGAAATGAATCATTGTGCTTTCAAACTCTGCTATTTCCACCCCTTCCTTAGCTAATTCCTTTTATTCTCATGGCGGGTGTTTCTTTCATCCTACCATTACCAACTTGAGATCCTCAATTTAAGTCCCTGGCATTGCTTTTTTCCATTAATTTGCACCGGGTTTATTGTTAGTGGATCAGGTTGCTAAAATCTTTGATTCCCATCCCATCTATGATATATATATTTCCCCCAATACACTAAACATTAGAGTACATAGTATTAGCTTGAAAGTGACACATAATGCAGTCATAAATTGACTTATGGATTATTGACTTTTTTATGCACTCTGATGAAATCCTTATACTTGGGCATTTTAAAGTTGCCCAGAGCAACTAACGCCACAGAACTAATGGAAAAACTTTTGACCAGTACATATGGCTTATTTTTTGAGAAAAAGGCACAGGAGATTTCCCTTTAATTAAAGCAACTCTGTACGTGTCCCCCTTTTTTTCTCTTCTTGGAAAAAGGTATATAGCAAAAAAAAATTTTTTTTGTTTAAAAAAGGAAGAACTGGGGGAAAAAAGCACCCACATTTTTCTATTATTGTCAGAAACTCTTGACTTACAGATGTTACTGACAGATGGGAAGCTGACTATATGAGAATGGGATGTGATTATCTTCCACTGAAAACCTGAAGGAAATCTAACAGAAAAACAATTGTTAAGTGAGAGGCATAAGCGCCAAAATAATATACTGAGCTATTTGGTTTCGGCATGGCTTTTATACATCTTTTCAACATGTTTCAGTTCTAGGTAGTGGCAATGTAGAATGTTGTCGGCAATGAAGTTCCTGATGTAAAGAGGTAAATAAGAAAGGGCTGCTTCACTGGTAACTAGAAGATATCTTATTCTGGGACAAATAGTACTTGTTCCTTTTAATTTGAAATTCTGTGGAGGGAGGAGAGGCTGCTGCTTGGCTAAAACAGTTCCTCCAGCACAAGTCATTAGGTCAAGTGGTCATAGGACCTGCTTGTGGCCCAGTTACCTTGGTAACAAAAATATTTGAGTTAGGAAATAATGCTTCCTAGGAGCAAAACAGAATGTCTTCAATAAATTGAGTACTTTTCTTTCTATTTAGAGTCTAGGCCATGGGCCCACAGCATGAGCATCACCTGGAACCTTGTTAGAAATGCAGTCTCAGTCCCCATTCCAGACCTATTGAATCAGAATCTGCATTTTAACAAAATTCCCTATGTGGTCCAAATTCACAAGGAAGTTTGAGATTCATTGGTCTCTAATACACCATTGCTGTGTTCCACTTTGGGGACAGGTTATTTTGACCAATGGTAATAGGCCACCACTGAGCACTTTTCCTTAGCAAATAGACAGGCTAAATATTTCTCTCGGATTGTCTGTTACACCATAGAGGCCGTTACTACAATAACTAGGACTTTTCCCATTAGAGCTTATTTTTCCAAGTCATAATTATACCAAGGAGGGTGTGGAATTTAATACACAATCAACTTTACTTGTCTGCCTGATTTGTTGATGACCAAAATCCAGCTGAACCAAATTAAATGGGTAAAAATTTCCTCAAAGTAAATAAGCTATTATGAAGCTGTTTACTCCGGTTTCCAGAAATTACAATTTTCCTTAATAAATCTCTAGGTTATTGGGTGTTTTTTCTCCTTTCTGTAGCCTATACCTGCATTTTCAGAGTGAAATCTATGGGATGTTATTGACAAAGTACATTCTTTGCATAGACTTTGATATAATTTTTTTCATTTGTTTATTCATTCCTTTACTGATTCAACTATTTATTGAATGACTAATATATGCTAGTCGTTATGCTGAACTCAAATACAAGGGTGAATAGTACACAATATATATCGTGTAAAGATTTTGAGGAAAGACAGCAGTTTTCCTGGAGAAAGTGAGTAGTTCTGTATGCCTGGAGTTTAGCATTCAAAGGGGAAGTGGTGAGAGATGAAGCTGGAGAGAAAAGAAGAGAAATCATGAAGAGCCTTCTAGTGCTATGTTAAGGAGTTTGAATTTTATTCTGAAGCAGATGCATCACTAATCTGAAGCAACGAATTTCAAACTAGGAGTTGCAACCTATTAATTAGTCATAAGTCATTGGGTGAGTCAGGATTAGCAATTTTCTAAAAAATGATATATATTAGAATAGAGAATTTCAGAGAGCATTTACATAGTAAAAGTTTGGTTGTGTGTGTATATATATGTATATACATATATGTATCTACACATGCAATAAGAAATATCTTTAAATTACGTGTGTGTGTGTGTGTGTGTGTGTGTGTGTGTGTGTAATGTAAAGGTATTTCCTATTGTGGGTCATGGTTAAAGCCACTAGTATAAAGGGAGTCAAGTTAGAGCAAGTATGGCTGACCATAAGCAAATTAAACCCATCAGAACTCATCAGCCATGGTTATGTTCCATTGCTACCCTGTGGCAGTACTTTGTTACAGCCAACTCTCTGAATTCGATTACTAAAGTGGTGGAATTGATGATGCAATTTTAAGGAACACAGATAATTAAAAAGTTGATTTACCTGTGGTTGGTTGCTAATAAAGCAGAAGTTTTTATTCATCTTGGAATGTGTGGGTGTGGATGAGACTGTGACAAAGGCAGACTATTTAGACGAGATTATACCAAAAGATGCAAGTCATGGCGAGTGGAAGAACGCTATACACGTGATTTTTGCCTAGGGCCACCTAGCCCTCTGACTATTTTTATTACTGCAGTAAAATCAGAGCTGTTCTTGAAAAATATATGGTGTAGTCTCTCAGAATAATGTATTTTAATCCTCGAACTGTGTTAAGTGTAGAGATTACAAAATTGTAGGAGACCCACTACTCAACTAAATTTTAGAAAAATGTTATCCCGACAAGATTTGCAAAGTGGTGTTCAGAAAAACAGGGTGGGAAGGAAGCAGGGAAATGTGAAAGATAAAGAGATGAGATGTAGAAAAGAAGGAAAACAGTGATAATCAGCTGTCTTCCAAGTCTTAATATAAACACAGGTAGAGAATAGAGTTATACTAATTCGGCAAGTAGAAACGTAATTTAAAAGAAATAGGATTGATGCTTCCAAACCATTGAATACCCTAAATACTTACTTATTTTGTAAGGCCTCTTCTCCACACTAATTATGGAAAACCTGTGGTTTGGGGACTGTTTTTCACAGTGGCTGAGAGCATAGACTCTGGAGCCATCATTTTATGGGATATAGGAACAACCTTGGGTAAGTTTCTTTATCTCATCTCTTTCTACAGATGGAGGTCATAACAATACATATTTTATGGTGTTGCTGCCAAGCAGATTTTTTGAGTTTATGGAGTTAATGCTGATTATATCACAGTAAATGGTAAAAAGTGTTCTAGATTGGAAGTTAGTCTTTTAACTTTGAACATTATCATCATTGTGCCTCAGTCAGGACAAAGGACACTTCTGGCAGGTATAAGGCATAAACAGGGACAAAAGAAAAGAGAGAGCAGAGGAGAGCAGAGATAGACTTTCATGATGTTGCAGAACCACAGAAGTCAATGAGAGCAGCTCAGGGGAAGAGATGAAAGATAAGCATATTTATTAGTCAGAGTTCTCCTGGGAAAGAGAACCAATAGTATGTGTGTATATGTATGATGTGCTGTGAAGAATTGGCTTACACAGTTATGGAGGCTGAGAAGTCCCACAATCTGTTGTCTGCAAACTGGAGACCCCGGAAAGCAGGTGGCAGTGGTAGTTCAAAAGCCTGAGAGTCAAAGAACCAACGTTGTAGATTCCAGTCTGAGTCTGAAGGCCTGAAAACTAGGGGCCTCAAGGGCTGGAGAAGATCAGTTTCTCAGCTCAAAGCAGTCAGGCAGAGAACAAATTCCCACCGTCCTCCACCCTTTTGTTCTATTTGGGCTCTCAACAGATTAGGTGATGCCCACCCACACTGGGAAGGGCCATCTGCTTTACTCAGTTCACCAATTCAAATACTAATCTCCTCTGGAAACACCCTTACAGACACAACCAGAAGTAATGTTTAACCAGACATCTGGGCACCCCATTATCAATACAAGTTGACACATAAAATTAGCTATCACAGAGTATATTGAGTAGTGTTCCCTGTGCTATACAGTAGGTCCATGTGGGGTGATGGGATGTTAACTACATTTATTGTGGTAATCATTTTGTAATATATACTTGTATCAAGTCATATTTTACACCTTAA